CGCTGTCCCAACCCTTTGGCTTCTCGAGACAGTGTATTGTGAACTAAAACGTCCATTTTGTTTTCTTTCTCACAATAATAACGGAGTACTAAAGGCATGTGGTCGCGATATTGCTGGCCTTATTCTGATATTATGCAAATATTATGAGACAATGGAACAGAGAGAAGGTGCTGTGACTTAATTGCCAAAAGACATGGCGTACAAATGGCTGCATTGCATTTAATTTATCATAACTGGAGAGAACAATATTGCGAAGTTTGCCAGAAGTAATATAATAATGTGTTCTTCCGTTTCTTGTTTCTTTTGTTTGAGACAGTTTTGTTTTATTTTTATTTCTTCAAAAAGAGAAAACGGAACTCCAAGTCCAAGAGTCATTTCTTATCATGGGAAAGAAAACAACAACACTAAAACAAAACATCTAAACTTTATCCTTCACTCCAATCAGACAAAAAGGCCTTGCCTTTAAAAAACTAATCAACATGCTTCCAAAATAGGTCCCTAGCTGGCCTCTGAGCCACGGATTACTTTTTCACGTATCTCAAATCCAGGATCGATCCATCTCCACCACAAGCTTTAATTCTACGTAAGCATCGATTCCCAAGAGGGGAAAATATTTTTATCGAGTATTGCCACCATTCAGTTGAGATGCTCTTTTCCATTAAAGCAGATTTTTCTCGGACTTGTAAAGAAAAAACAGAACAACAACACCAAAACAAACTGAATCAGCCTGCCTTCAAAACAAAATTTAATGTACCGATTTAAAAAAATCTTTTAGGTATTTGTTGAATTAACGAACTAATCAATTAATGAATTAATGCATTCAATCAGTCACAAATGGTCTACCTGTAAAAAATCAACTCACCTGGGCGTCATTGGGGACCCAGAGCTTGTCGGGGTCACTGACCTCATTAAAGGCCAACAAGCCAAGGCCAGTGAGAGCAGCGACAATCACACAACCCAGGATATAGCGCCAAGGGTGAGTACCGATGCTCAGTCCAATCCTAAGAGTATGAGGGGAAAGTTAACGTTGCAAACCAGAGATGAGAAACAATCAGGAGTTTTGTTTACAGGGTACAGTATGGTGCGATGATATAGTAAGGAGTTGTATTGTGTGATGTGGTCTGTGTATGGTATGGTATGGTATGGTATGGTATGGCAAAGTATTATAGTATGGTGTGTTTTAGTAAGCGTTTTACGGCACTTGAAACACAATAAGGTCATATACGTGCCGAAGATTAGAGGTGTTTCAAGGGAGTAACAAACACAAAAAAGAAGGAGGGGCGATAAAGACGATAGATGTTTGATAGGAAAGAAGAAGCAAACCACACAAGAGCACCCGCCAACCACCCACTTATAGTATGGTATGGTACTATGTTGGGCGGTGTGATGTGTAGCGTGGGGTAGTGCGGTGTGTATTAAAGTTTCAGTTAGAGTTTTACGGCACTAGCAATACAATGAGACCATGTAAGTGCCGAATATTACAAGAGAGTAACAAACACACACGCAAAAAAGAGGGGAGATCAGGACAAAAAGTGTTTGATGGGAAAGAAGGAGCAAACCATACCAGAGTACCCGTCACCCATCCGTGTGGTGTTGTGTGGTCTGGTGTGGGTTTGATGCCCCTTTCAACACAGGAAAGAAAGTTATCAGTTTATACAGAATGTACATAATGTGATCAAAGACGATCATTCAAGAAGTTTCAAAACAAAAACAAAAATGCTTGATTATTCAATTACTTATTTACAGTCTCGTATCTCTTCTGATGGAAAAGCCCACACAGTTTAACATATTTTTCTTCGGCAACAACAACAGCTACAACAACAACAACAACAACAACAACAACAACAACAACAACAGCAAAAACAGGAGCAACAAAGACAATAAAAACAACCACAACATAAAAAAACAACGGAAAAAATAACAGCAGACAATGATAATTGCAGCAACATCCACAACATTAACAATCAAAACAACAATAGCAATAAACACACAACAACAAAAACACAGACAGAATAGGGTAAGGATATTAAATACTTAATAAATTGTGTTTTTTTTTCCAAACTTAAATGTGGGTGGTTTAACACCCACATCGACACAGCTTAGATTATTTAGGAGGCCGGTTTCCGACCCTGGGTTAATCGGTCATAAGAAATGTATAAACAAGTCTAGCCAAAATGCTGTTACGTTACCTCTCAAAGCCCTTCTCCAGTCCTCCAGTGATAACGTTGCTGAATCTCTGCAGACACGACACTTTCCGTTCAGATGTTCCACCGTTTACGTCACCATTCGGTGCGTGTCCGTTGCTATGGACGCCATTTGCAGAATGCTTTAAATCAGACGTCCCAGACATCTTCAAAGCCTTGCTTCCAGCACTTTCTTCTCCTCAAAAGCTGAAAAACCTGATACAAAAAAGGGAGAGGTGCGAGTGTGATTAAAAATAGCCTGTTTGTTTTGATTGTTTGAGAAAAGAGAAGCACATTGACTCGGACATTAAATGCAGGAGAAGGGCAAGCTATACTGGCTGCTATAGTTTCACTTTCGTCTGTCTGAGATTAAAACGGGACAAATACAAATCGTTAAGACTTATCTCCTCGTGTCTTTGCATGCGGATCTAAAAGTTGAATGACCAAAAGCACTGGAAAGCCCATTAATAGAGACCACTACAAACTAAAGTGCCCCATACACACTTAAATTTATTTGTCAAACATTTGATATAAAATTTGTTTGACAGTTTTACGTTTGCCCTACACGCTCAATTTTTTTGTGTCAAACGTTAGTAGTTTGTGCCAAGAGTTTGTAATGGACGGACCAACAGCGTGGACTCTTGCTTTAGCCTTGCGAAGAAAAACAAGAACAAATGATCGTGGGTCAAAAATTGGTTTTTGCAGCGCCAAAAATGGGCGATTCTAAATTATAAGATGAGTTGTGATGTACTGAGCAAAATGATTTCAGAAACTTTTTACAGATGGACGGAGATTCGTTTGATGAGCTTCTCGAACTCGTGAGAACTTTTATTATAAGTGTAAACAAGATACTGTAATGCGTAGTGCCATATCTCCTGCTGACAGACTTTTAATAAAAGAGGAATAAAATAGCATTAAAAAACCACAATGAAGACTCAAAGATATCATCTGCACCGGCTCCAGACTTTTGAGAATCACACAAAGACTTAAACTCCCTTCAAAAACTCGTCGCATTGAGTTAATTTTTTCCCTTCCTTGTTCTGTTGCATAATATGCATACCACTCCCTGTATTTCAGCAGCACAGCGTCATAGGCAGCCTCTTTTTTCTATCTCGGTCACTATATATTCTGTACTTTTAACTTTCCATAGTTCAGGCAAAGTCTGGTACACTTCAACCAGCTCCAGAATATTTTTTTTTCATTCTTTGATGGCGCAATGATGATGTAAAAAGTACATCTTTTCCATCCGGCAGCGACTGACAAAATGATGTTTGCACAAATAAATTTGATGAAGCCCACACACGATTAAATAGTTTAATAATAATAATAATAATAATAATAAATTACACTTGTATTTGTCCCAGAAGGGCACTTTGTTTTACAATGGCAAACATACATACATAATTACATAATTATAAATACGTACATACACAAATACATACATGCATAAATACATACATAAATAAACACTGTTACACAAATACAGAACAGTTTACAAACAATGCCACTGCCGGTCGCCACTGTGCAGCGCCCTGTAGTTTGAGCTAGGGTTGTCGTGTCTTGCTCAAGGACACATTCCAGTGACCACCCATCTGATCCCCGTGTCACCGACACTTGCTTGACATTGCTTGAGTCAAAACTCACTACTCACTTAGCCACTGGAGCTAAAAATACCAACTGAAAACAGATCCGTCACATATTTGACATCAAATTTTTTTGACCATCAAACACGCCCATACACGATAAAAAAGAAGATATTTAAAAGAATTGTATCAAACATATTTTATCAAACCATCAAACAAATTTAAGCGTGTATAGGGCACTTAAGGTTCCGACACTTTTTTCGTTGACGTGAGCCATATAAGTTCCGTCAGTGGCCTTGGGGTTAGGCTACCGGACTCGTAATCGTGAGGTTGCGGGGTCGGGGGTTCGAGCCCCGGACCCGACGTTGTGTCCTTGGGAAAGGCACTTTACACGAATTTTCCTCACTTAACCCTGGTGGAAATGGGTACCTGGCCATAGACAGCGAAAGATCTTGTCAGTTTGTCAGTGTTTTAGCGCCTATAAAGGGCTGCTTGCACTGTATACTTCCCAGGAAGTTGAGTTTGTTTCAGAATTCTCTCCGGTCTGCTGGGGTAATAGTATAGATTGTGAAGCGCATAGACCTTGCTGTTGAGCGGGGATTTGCGCTATACAAATGCTATCTATTATCATTATAAGTGTGTCAAAGAACAATACGAAATTTTCTGCACACACCAAAATACACAAAAAGCCAACCTATTTTCACCAACGCTACACTTGAACGCACACGTATGAAACACAGTCCAACAGACGGGTGAGTAATTTTCGAAACTCGCGTGATAACGTTTTGAGGGTGGGTTGTTTTTTGTTTGTTCTTTATTTGTTATGGTTTTGTTTGTTTAATTTATATAATAATTTTTTTTTCTTTTTTTTTTTGGGGGGGGGGTGGGGGGGGGGGCTACGTGATCAAACTGAAATGTGAGGGCGGGTGGTGTTGTTCTCATAATTTTCACTTTGGTTAAGAGTTTTACGACGCTCGCAACTGCAGTGATATGCACGCGCGGGACTCCGGTTGATTGTCTCCACTTTCACGTTAGTCCACAGAACGGTTTGTTGTTACTTTGTAAAGTCGGAATGGGTGGGGTATCTAAAAGTACACTGCAGGCCTAAACATTTAGTTTTAAAAGCAGCAATTTGCATGCTTAAAAAAACACGATTTACATTTCACTGTAAATTGTAAAGACCAATGGTCTTCACAAAATCGAGAATTCTATTGAGATCAACGATGGAGAACAACATTTTTAAATTAATGCATTTGAAATATTTCCTTCGGATCTCTACAAAGTCCGGACATTTTATTAGAATGTGCCTGATCCTAAGGTCGGCATCGCGTTCGGCCCCCCAATTTTTTTTTACCTCCCAGCATATGCCAAGGAAGCATGTCCAATTCGTGATTTTGTAAAAATAACTTTTTCTCTTCTGGAGAGACCCGAAACTTTTCGCAGACCCAACCTGGGCATTATAATGAGGAGTTTATTCTTCACTTGTTGGCTTCACTGCTCTTTCCACAGACTTGAGGTATAGCACATGACCGTTATTTTTAATTAAAATCTGTCTGTGAGAGGGTGTTCTTCAATGATCCCAACAAACGGGACAAGGATGCTTTGCCAGAAGATTGATCTGCTCGTTTCCTCTGATGCCCACATGGCTAGGTAGCCATCCATGCAAACAAAACATGCTTTCCCTTTCAACTAATTAGGGAATATTCAACTGTAAACTTTCAACCATTTATTTAAGGTTTAAGAGTAAAATTGATGAGCGTAGGTGAGGAAAGACAAGGAATTAGACAGAATTGAAAAGATAAATCTGCATAAGTCGCCCGTTAGACATTTTTTCAGCAAGTTTACTTAGACAGCTCGCGATTGGTTTGAAACGGGAAGGATTTGTGTAGACTTTGCCTAGTTTTGGGAAAAGGAATGACAGTGGCAAGTCTCCAGGAGTCGGAATAAGTGTACGACTGCCACTTTAAGTCTTTGGAGGTGTTTAAAAGAAGGATGAGTGTTTTGTATGAGGAGATGTCTTGGTGATTTGAGTAAGTATTGAATCTAGACTTAGGGTTGTAACACTATTGCTCAGGTGCGAGATGCATCATTTGAGATCATCATCTAGTGTGAATTCTGCGTTGTAAGTTTCAGTGTTGTTTGAGTTAGAGTTTATGTGTTGTTGTTCCCTGTTGGTTTTGAAAGCTGTTGTGGTAATTTGGTTTGTATGAATTTTGCGAAAGAGATACATGTAAACTATGGTGTTAGCCATTGCTATTGGTGTTTATGTTGAGGTGCCATCCAGTTTTTTCCCCCTTTTAACTTGGTGATGATTTTTAAAAGATTGTTGATTGATGTTTGGACGTTTAATTTGGAAACGAACTTATGTTCTGAAAGAGTGGGGTTTGCTTTCACTGAGACGTCTACGTGCCTCAGCTCGAGCTTTTTTGTATGCATTTGTGTTGTCTGTAGCGCCATTGTCGACAGCTCTCCGATATCCTGCCTTTTTCTTTACGTCATCATCAGATCATCATCTGGCCCGTGAGTAGACCCAGTAATTAATCATGAATGTAGCCCGCAGTGAGTTGATGATTAATAAAGTCAAAAATATCCGTCTTGAAATTTAAAATAAAAATGTTTTCAGCCCAGATTGAAGTAATAGATCCGATATCTATATCTCATGAAATTCCCTAGAGTGACATATTACAGAGAGCATTTGCATAGCACAAATTCCCCCTCAACAGCAAGCTCTCTATGCGCTTTACAATATTATTAAATTACCCCAGCAGGCCTATATGTTATTGCTCACTCTCTTGTCTTAATATATTTTACATATTATATTATTTATGTTACATTATTATTGAATCAGTTTTAGGCTCACTTTTGAGAGTTCAGATATTTCAACCGATTTCACCCAATGTTCCCCTGCTTTGGCCCACGATATATTCAGAGTAGCTTAAATCGGACCCGTGACATAGACACGCACCCCCGATGCCTTGCGGTAGAGCCTAGCCATTACACGACAGGGGCTAGTGTCAACGGTGATAAGATGAAGGAAATAAAATCTATGGTACTGTGCGCATAGCAAGGTTTATTTTGGGCACACATTGAATAGCCTTTCAGTGTAATTGATTATTACTTCGCTATAAACAAACTCGAGCGCGTCGTTGGTTAGCACATGTATATAATGCCAGATTGATGCGGATGGTCCCGGTTCAAATCTCTTATGAAGAATTCTAGAACATGGTTTGTATTGTATATATTGAATAGATAGATAGAAAGATAGATAGATAGATAGATAGAGAGAGAGAGAGAGAGAGAGAGAGAGAGAGAGAGAAAGGGAGAGAGAGAGTTCTAATAGGCTGTGTCCAATCGGGATGAATGTCAAATCCAGAAGTCTCACAACAATGTAAAAAAGGTGAATAATACATACCTGTGTGTTGTAAAATCCACAATCAAAGTATTTTTGGAGTAATTGAAGTACAGTAACCAAAAATCTAACCAGGTTGGTGAAGAATTCGTTGATCTTAGACCAAGTTCACACAGTTACAACTAACTACTACTGGCCAGTTTACCAACTTGGGGCAGAAAAAGACGCTCACAAACTAAGCATATTTACATCAACATGAACCAAGGTCTACAGACCAAGTCGGCAGATTTCGGAACGTGTGCCTTTTTGAGCAACCCGCGGAAACGATCTTTGGCCTGGTATCAAATTTGGTTGTATAACGTCTTCTTATCTTACAAGGAGAGAAGGGGTGCAGGGGGTGGGGTCGATAAACAGAGACTTTTAAAGCCTATCCCCCAATCGCAGTGTACGACACTGCACTGGCTACACCACATACAGCACTGCTGTTGGACTGCGTGGTGTGGTGGCAGAAAAAGACGGAAACACTTCAAGTTTAATGACTTTTATGTAAGGGTAATCGTCCATGTGTGACGCAACCCTTGCAAGCAGTCGGGCCGACACAGACGGGCAAAACGTACCGGGAAATGAAATCTTTTGTGGTCTGAAAAGAGTGTATAAAATGAGTCAAAAAGAGGTGGGACTTAACGGGAAATATATTTCCATAGCTTTAAGTAATCGTTAGCAAAGTCAATTTCTTATCGTTTCAATTCTTACTATCCTGTCATTCTCTGTTTGTTGTGTTCTGTCTCTTACTTTTGCCTTATTGTCTTTCCTTGTCTGTCACCTCCACTGTCTAGTCTATCACATTCTCTCCCAATCTCCTCGAGCCC